TTTTTTTTTACTTCAAAATAAGATATGTGCAGTGTGCATAGGAATTTGTACATAGTTTCTTAAAAAAAACTATAGTCCGGCCCTCCAACGGGTCTGAGGGACAGTGAACTGGCCCCGTGTTTAAAAAGTTTGAGGACCCCTGGGTGGATGATTGCCACGTGGTGTGATCTGTCCCTCCAGTCCTCGAATAGCTGAGGCATTTAAGAACAGTACCACTTGTGGACTTGTTGGATAGTAAAAGCACTTGGGGTCCAAATGGAGGTTCTGTATTCCTACTAATGCTGGATGCTGAGACGCAGATCAGCCTTAGGGATCTTGGGATTACAGAGACTTGCGAGTGGGGATAAAGGTGGAAGAGTCTGAGAGCCTCTCTTTTGGGGATTGATGGCATAGCCAGCAGTCACCAAGATTTTGACCCTAGATCACAGCCCTAGTGACAGGGAGATAATTATTCTCTCTCACTGCTCCAGTGAAGGCCGGTTGCAGCCACCAGATACAACTGCAGATAAATATTCATTTTAACTTATAGGGAAGCTTGTGATAAGACCCCTGTCTTATAGGAAGCAGACATCATGAAGAAATTCTGGTCACAGCCAGGATTATGCAAAGTGCAACTGCAAAAATAATTCCTGCCCAAGGAATGCACTTATTCTACAAAAACATTAGAAGGCTTAGCTTTCCGAGAGTGGCTTCTTTTTCTCGAACAGGAGTCTCCATCTGTCTTTTGGCAGTCATAGCAGCTTCGATCAACCTCAGCATCATCTTGTGTTCTTCCCATGGTTCTTCAAGGCCTTGAACAGAGACATGAGGACTCAATTCTTGACTCCTCTTCGTTTCACTCCTATAGGACTGTGGTATGTCACGATTGTAGGTGGGAAGCTTTCTCGAGCAGTCTGGTCTGGTACCAAAGATATTGTCCATGATGGACTTACCTGGCTTGCCACTCTGGGAGGAATGAGAGTCGGCCATGGCATCAAATACTACACAAACTCACTCATCAAGCATTTATTTAAAAGTTAAAGTACATTCTAAAGGAGGAAGAATAGGTGGCGGTCTCCACGGAATGGAAAAGACCCAGTTATGATACAAAGCAAGGGCTTTTATATCGATGTGAAATATATGCTAA